CATCCAGCTCTACACCTTGTTATCTCAGATTCTCCAACATCTGCAGTTCCTACTATCTCGAATAGTGTGCGTGCAGTTTTGGTCCACTTAGGAAGGATGTAGATGCATTGCAGGTGGTTTACCAGATTAAAACCTGGAATGAATTCTGAGGAAGTGTCTCGGGCCCGAAACGTTATCTCTGATTTTTTTTCTCCACAGACCTGCTGAGCTTTTCCAGCAACTTCTATTTTTGTTGTTGTAGTTTTCACTGGAGTTTAGAAAGGTGAGGAGCAACTTGATTGAAATGTATAAGATCCTGAAAAATCTTGACCTGGTGGACATGGAAAGGATTTTTCCCCTGGCAGTCAGCCCAGAACGAAGGGGCATGGTTTTAAAATTGGGGTTAGCCCTTTTAAAACAGAGCTGTTTCTCTCAGAGGCCTGTTTAACTTTGGAACTCTCTGCCTCAGGAGGAGGTGGAGACATGTTTATTGAATAGTTTTGGGACCAAGCTGGATGGATTCTTGTTAGGCAGGGGAATCGAGGACTATTGAGGTTAGATGGGAATGTGGAATTTGAAACATGAGCAGATCATTATTGAGTGGAGGAACAGACTCAAGGGGCTGAATGGCCTTTTTCTGCTCCAATTTCGAATGTTTGCATGTTCATATATTTGTACCTGTCCCAAGTTCAGTGTTGTCTTTGGAACTACAGGCAATCATCACAGATCCTTAATCGGATGTCAGTAAAACATGCCTGTAAAAAAATCAGGTGCCAAGTCAGACAAACTCTGACTGAAAGCACATTGTTTTCCTATTTTTAAACTTTTGCTGTGCACCTCTGGCATAATGTGACATCTGAGGTAGTCCATCTGGAATACAATACACAGACATTAAGTGCTTCTATTTTGAGAATTGCTGAAAAGAAAGACAGAGACACATTCTCTACAAACGAAAATAGCGTGCCCTAGAATTTGTGGAATCTAAAATTTTCCATTTCTTTCTCCATGGCAACACCTTGGCCAACCTGCTAACCAATCAGCAGCCTTCTTTCCCATACTGTTCGATTATTTGAAATTTGTCATTCTTGTGTGTGAGTCCTGATGTGTACGAGATGGAAAACATCAGGCCTATGTCTCTATTTCCAGCAAGATTCAAGTTCTGTCCTGCCAAAGAACTGTTCGCATTTGTATATTGCCATGTCCTACGCTTCTTTCCTCATTTACTTGGACAAAAACAAGACTCTTCAATAAAAGGATAGCCACGCTGACTTATCACATGGAACACAGAGGGGAGCTGGCCATTTGGATACAAAATTGGCTCGAAGGTCAGAAACAGAGGATGGTGGTGGAAGGTTACTTTTCAGACTAGAGGCCTGTGACCAAAGCTGTGCCACAAGGATCGGTGCTGGGTCCACTGCTTTTCGTCATTTATATAAATGATTTGGATGTGAACACAGGCGGTATGGTTAGTAAGTTTGCAGATGACACCAAAATTGGAGGTGTAGTGGACAACAAAGAAAGTTACCTCAGAGTACAATGGGATCTTGATCAGATGGGCCATGGGCCGAGGAGTGGCAGATGGAGTTTAATTTAGATAAATGTGAGGTGCTGCATTTTGGAAAGGCAAATCAGGGCAGGACTTATACACTTAATGGTAAGGTCCTGGGGAATGTTACTGAACAGAGAGACCTTGGAGTGCAGGTTCATAGTTCCTTCAAAATGGAGTCGCAGGTGGACAGGGTGGTGAAGGTGGCTTTTGGTATGCTTGTTTTTATTGGTCAGTGCATTGAGTATAGGAGTTGGGATGTCATACTGCAGCTGTACAGGACATTGGTTAGGCCACTATTAGAATACTGCATTCAGTTCTGGTTTCCCTGCTATAGGAAAGATGTTGTGAAACTGGAAAGTGTTCAGAAAAGATTTACAAGGATGTTGTGGGGTTGAAGGGTTTGAGCTATAGGGAGAGGCTGAATAGGCTGGGGTTATTTTCCCTGGAGCATCAGAGGCTGAGGGGTGACCTTATAGAGGTTTATAAAATCATGAGGGGTATGGATACAGTAAATAGTCAAGGTCTTTTCCCAGAGTAGGGGAGTCCAAACTAGATGGTATAGGTTCAAGGTAAGAGGGGAAATATTTAAAAGGGACCTAAGGGACAACTTTTTTACACAAAGGATGGTGTGTGAATGGAATGAGCTGCCAGAGGAAGTGGTGGAGGCTGGTACAATTAAAAGGCATCTGGATGGGTATATGATTAGGAAGGGTTAGAGGGGTACGGGTCAAATGCTGGTAAATGGGGCTAGATTAATTTAGGATATCTGATCGGCATGGTCTGTTACCACGCAGTATAACTCTATGATTCTGTGCAGTGGACTCTTTATAACGCAATCTGAAGTGGCAACAGAAGCCATTATAAATCCCTCCCACACTCTAACCTCAAGCTCTGAAGTCTCTCAGTTTCTTTTGAAATTAAGAGTTTCAGATATCAGCCAGTAAATGATTAGGGCATTTGTTTTTACACCAGTTCTCTTTGTTTCTCTCAAGCTAAAGGGAAACAGAATGGAGGGTAGGAGATGAAGCTTCTCAAGATAATCCTTCAGAGATGGAGAAAGGAATTCTCTAAGGCAAAAAAATTCTATAGAATGAGAAGCTGTTCAGAAAGAAAAATTCCACTGTCAGGTTTTTCAATAGCTTTAATCATAGACACCTTATCACACAATGGCCATGCTGTCTTTGCAAATTTGAAGAGCCCAAAGGCTGTTTTCCACTTTGACCTTTGTCTTATGCAGAAGATTAACTTCACAAAGCTCTGCCAGATGCTTCGCATTCAATCCAACCGCTCAAAATTCAAATTCTCTCACTTGTGTAACAGGAAAGCCTCTTCATGCATTGCTGAGAAGAGGTAGCTCACTCTCAGGGCAGTGCTTTACCTCCAGTGAGCAAAGCAGCGTGGAGCCACAGAGTTGCTACAGCGAATGTGGGGATCAAACACACCCCCTTCTCCAAACTTCCCCTCGCTGTCTTGGAAATGCAGCCAGCTTTAAATACACCTGCACCAAACCCCCGCAACAGGCTTTGAAGCAAAACAAATGCAGAGATCAAGATATCACCTGCGTACCTTGCTCCCTATCTCACACAGTTTGCTCACCAGTGCCTTGCCTCCCCAGCACCTCAGTGAGAGGAAAGATGGGATCACACCAGAGGAGGTGCACAGGAGATTCGCCAGGATGTTGCCTGGGATGGAGCATTTCAGCGATGAAGAGAGGCTGGGTAAGCTCAGGCTGTTTTCTTTGGAGCAGAGAAGGTTAAGGTGGGGGTGGGGGGGTACCGATAGAGGTGTATAAGATTATGAGGGGCATTGACAGGATGGATAGACAACAGTTGCTCCCTTTGCTGTGGCTGGTTCGCTCGCTGAGCTGGTTCGTTAGTTCGCAGACATTTCATTACCCTGCTGGGTAACATCCTCAGTGCAGCCTCCGATGAAGCGCCGTTGTGTTTTCCCACCTGGTTTTTAAACTCTGGCGTCCATTGGAATTGGTTACCTCATTTCTGATCTTTGTTCGCAGTGGTGTATATACATATAGGGTCTAATTCTACATGTTTATTGATGGCCTTCTTGGTGGAGAACCAGGCCTCTAGAAATTCCCGTGCTTGTCTCTGTTTGGCTTATCCTAGGATCCTGATGTTGTCCCAATCGAACTGGCAGTTCTCATTGTCCATGTGAATGGAGATAAGTGAGTATTGGTCATGTCTTTTTGTTGCTAGTTGGTGTTTGTGTATTCTTAGAATCCCTACAGTGTGGAAACAGGCCATTCGGCCCAACCAGTCCACATTGCCCCTCCGAAGAGCATCCCACCCCGACTCATTCCCCTACCCCTGCATTTCCCCATGTCTAAGCCACCTAACCTAAATATCCCTGGACACTACGGGCAATTTAGCATAGCCAATCCACCTAGCCTGCACATCTTTGGACTGTGGGAGGAAACCGGAGCACCCGGAGGAAAGCCACGCAGACACGGGGAGATTGTCCATACAGACAGTCGCCTGAGGGTGGAATTGAACCCGGGGCCCTGGCTCTGTGGGACAGCAGTGCTAACCACTGAGCCATAGTGCCACCTGTTTCCTTTCTGTCTGTCCAACGTAATGTTTGTCACAGTCTTTGCATAGAATCTTGTATATCACATTGGTTCTGTCCATTGTGGGTACGGGGTCTTTGGTTCGAGTTAGCAGTTGGCCACAAGAATACACAAACACCAACTAGCAACAAACAGACATGACCAATACTCTCTCATCTCCATTCACACGGATAATGAGAACTGCCAGTTCGATTGGGACAACATCAGGAGCCGAGGACAGGCCAAACAGAGGCAAGCACGGGAATTTCTAAAGGCCTGGTTCTCCACCAAGAAGGCCATCAATAAACACGTAGAATTAGACCCTATATATACACACCACTGCGAAGAAAGACCGGAAATGAGGGAACCAACTCCAATGGACCCCAGGGTTTAAATACCAGGCGGGAGAATACAACGGCGCTTCATCGGAGGCCGCACTGATGATGTTACCCAGCAGGGTAATGAAACATCTGCAAACTAACAAACCAGTTCAGCGAGCGAACCAACCACAGCATCCACAACCTGAGCCACAAATCTACTCAAGCACCTTAGTTGTTCCCTTTAGTTGAAAGGTCTGTAACAAGGGATATAGTTTTAAAGTGAAAGGCAGGAGGTTTAGAAGGGGTTTGAGGACATGCATTTTCACCTGGACGGTGACAGGGGTCTGAATGCATTGCCTGGGAGGGTGGTTGAGGTGAAAAACCTTTAAGAAGTGTATGGATGAGCACTTGAAGTGTCAAAGCATTCAAGGCTATGGGCCTAATGTGGGAAAGTGGGACTTGTGTAGGGAGTAGTATATTTCTGGCAGTACAGATTGGATGGGCCGAAGGACCTCTCCTGTCCTCTCTGATACAACAATGTCAATCTCCCCACAGTCCCAGTGAATAGTGACTCCCTTGGTGGAAGTCCATAGTTATACATCTGGAGATGATTATGAGGGTCTTGAGGAGGTGATTGCTGGTGAGGAGCAGGATTTGGGATCTAAAGAAAAGCCAGAAGGTGGCCCTTTGTGACCAGGGGCTCCCTCAATCAGGTACAAGCGAACCAGATAGGCAGCATGTCTCCACCCTGCACTCCCTGACTTGATCAACCCTCCATAATCCTCCTTTCCCACCTCAGAACTCACCCGCCCCAGGGGGAGGGCTTTACCTTTGATCCACTTGGTATCAGTGTCATCACATTCACCATTGCTGCAGACAGGTTGTGCACAGCAAGATCCCACAAACAGCCAAGAGACCAACAGCCCATGAACCTGCAGATGCTCACTGTCTGCAGACGTTGGAAAGCATTCCAGCTCTATTAGCGAACAAGCCTCACGTTGACCTTTCCAGCAATGCAGCACCCCCTCAGTACTGCCTTGAGGTGTCAGTGTAGATCTTGGATCAACAATTAAGGGTGAGGTTTACTCTGACAGTCCCACAGAGCCTGGGGTGAGGCTGCATCCGTGAAAGTTCTACGTACCCATCCTTCTGACCTGTTCCACACAGATGGGGGAGAAGATACACAAGAGTAAACACATGGTACCTACTCAGTTTGATCCCCATTCACAGGAAAGTCGATCAAATATAAATGGTCCTCTTCCTCAGGCATCTCTAAAATCGCAGAATTTGACCGTTGAACTGCGAAAATTGGAAGAGGGAGACAAATTAGGCAGTAATACCTCACATCCACCATAACTTTGGGAATTCACAAATATAGCAACAAAACCAACCCTAGAGTCAACCACATTGTTGTGGGGCTGGAGTCTCATGTAGTACAAACCAGGTCAGGATGGCAGATATTTTTCATAGAATTCCTACAGTGCGGAATTAGGCCATTGGGCCCATCAAGTCCACACCCACCCTCCTAAGAGCATCCCACCCAAGCCCAACCCCTACCCTGTCCCTGCATTTCCCACCCTAGACACTATGGGGCAATTTAGCACGGCCAACCTACCCTGACCTGCACATCTTTGAAGTGTGGGATGAAACCGGAGCACCTGGAGGAAACCCACGCAGACACGGGGAGAATGTGCAAACTCCACACAGACAGTCGCCCGAGAGTGGGTCCCTGGTGCTGTGAGGCAGCATTGCTAACCACTGAGCTCCTGTGCCACCCTTCCCTAAAAGACATTATTAGGGCAGGCGATGGCCAAGTGGTGTTATCGCTGGACTGTTCATCCAGAAACCCAGATAACATTCTGGGGACCCGGGTTCGAATCTCGCCGTGGCAGATGGTGGAACAGGAATTCAATCAAATATCTGGAATTACGAATCTAATGACGGCCATGAATCCATTGCTGATTGTCGGGAAAAACCCATCTGGTTCACCAATGCCCTTTAGGGAAGGAAACTGCCTTCCTTACCTGGTCTGGCCTACATGTGACTCCAGACCCACAGCAATGTGGTTGACTCTCAACAGCCCTCTGGGCAATTAGGGATGGGCAATAAATGCTGCCTGGTCAGTGATGCCCTCATCCCGTGAATGAATAAAAAAAATTAGTGAACGAGATGGGTTTTTATGACACCATTACAGAGACTCGCCTTCCATTCCAGATTTATTGATTGAATATAAATTCCATGAGCTGACATGGTGGCATATGAGCCCTTATCCCCAGAGCATTTGCCCTGGGCCTTCGGCACAAGCTAGATACCACTACACCAAGGCCCTCCCACCCTCAAAAATGTGTTGCATGAGGAGTGAAGGAGAGAAAAGGTGGAAGAACAATGGAGAACATTACATTTCAGAACCCTTTCAGCCCATCCACCAAACACCAACTAAGCGAGTAGGAACCAGCTAGAGAATTCAAGTCAAGAATACTCACAATGCAACACTAAATGAGAGTCTAGTGCAGCTTCGACAGTTCGATGTTGCTGGAGTGCCATTAAGCTTTGTTGCTGAGTGAAACCCATGCTCTGAAACAAATATTAAAAGAGTTGCTGTAAAACCGAGGCAACACCTTATACAGACAACCCCAAGCAAAATACTGCAGCTGGTGGAAATCTGAAACAAAGACAGAAAGTGCTGGAGAAACTTAACAGGCCTGGCAGCATATGTGGAAAGAGAAACAGAATTAATGTTTCAAGTCATTAGATGAAGCATCATACCAGACTTGAAACGTTAACCCTATCTCTCTCTCTCTCCATAGATGCTGCCAGACCTGCTGAGTTTCTCCAGCAATTCTGGTGTTTGTTTCAACATTTTACGCAGTTTGGTCATCATTTCCCCACACGTTTCTGTTTTCAAATTTAAAATGGACTACTTGTCACCTGGGAAACATATTTAGTTAACCAATCAAGCCAACGCAGGGTGGAATACAGTAGACGTAGAGAAGATATTTCCACATGTAAGTGAGACCATGGTCATGGATGAGGGATAATTACTGCTAAGCAACGCAGGAGTAAACCCCTTTAGGCAGAAAGTGGTCAGAATGTGGAACTCACTACCACATGGTGATAGCATCGATGCATTTAAGGGAAAGTTAGATAAACACATGGGGAGAAGGGGGGAGAATGTTCTGCTGAAAGGATGAGATTGGGAAGGCATGGATCATAAAAACCAGCATGCACTTTTTGGAATGAAAGGCCCATTTCTGGCCTGTAAATATAATATAATGGCCCCTCGCTTGACTGGATGCAAATATCCTACATTGAGTTAATGCACAGAGATCTCAAATCTGCATCCTAATGGGCCCCACAGCACTAAATTGCTCTAACGTCAGCAGTGAGTTGCCAATGTTTTTCAGAGAGGCCAGTAGATAGTCAACACAGGGAATCAGAAACCTGGTACAGCATAGAATATAGAACATAGAACACAGAACATAGAACACAGAACATTACAGTGCAGTACAGGCCCTTCGGCCCTCGATGTTGCACCGACCTGTGAAACCAATCTGAAGCCCATCTAACCTACACTATTCCATTATCATCCATATGTTTATCCAATGATCATTTAAATGCCCTTAAAGTTGACGAGTCTACTACTTTTGCAGTCAGGGCATTCCACGCCCTTTGCTCTCTGAGAGCTTGCTCTGAGGCAGAATGTAGGACCAAGAAGAGAGAGAGAGAGAGGAGAGAAGGACAGAAATGAGCTAACATCCAAATGTTCAAAAAAGACCTCAACAATTTTAATACTATCCATAAACATTAAAACATACACCTACTCCAGATTTCATTCGACCCTGTTTACCCTCAAAGAAAAAGAAAAATGCACACTTAAGTGTTACCAATATTTTTGTTAATGTGCCTTTCAAAACGCAGCTAATCTTCATGGAGGTGTCTCCTACTGAACTGGCACCAATTAAGGAGATGTTCCTATACTGTGTTTGTCTAGAGACAGTAGGTCATATCTAATTATTCATTATTCAACACAAAGAGAAACAGAATAAAAACAGAAACAAGAATTAGTAAAAATTATACAATCCCACGAGAGAACAGAACTATCACTCAGTAACCAGCAGTTACAAAGAACCAAACGAGAGAGAACTCCACATAAGTACCATCAGTTTTACTGTTTGACCTCAGGACTACATTCTCCATCAAGCGCTTTGCCAAGTCCTTGATGCAATTATCTTGGTCAATTCACTCGGGTAGTTGACAATGAACTACTCAAGAATTCTAATCACTGAACTTAGAAAAGCATCCGTCTTACATAATAAGGTATTTATGTGACTGTAACAGCCAATTTGTCACAACTGGTTTTGTTAGTGTTTATGTTCCATGTGAATCTCTCCTCACTCCCCTTCATCTTACACAAACATGGAGGCACAGAGTTCCAGAAAAGGCCTTTCGGCCCATCAAGACTGCACTGACCTATAATCTGTACTAATCCCACATTCCAGCACTTGGCACATAGCTCTGAATGTTGTGAAATTTCAACTGTTCATCCAAGTACACGTTAAAGGTTGGGGGTTTCCCACCTCTACTATCCTCCCAAGCAGTGCATTCCAAATTCCCACTATCCTCTGGGGGAGAAAAAGTGTCATCAAATCCCCACAAAACCTCCTGCCTTTAACCTAAACAGTACGCTCCTTGTTTTTGACTCTTCAGCTGAAGGAACAGCTGCTTTCTATTCACTCTGTCCATGGTCCTCATAATATCCTCCTGTTTATTTCCTCTTGTGTTTATCTAACTCCCTGCTCTTCATAGAATCCCTACAGCGTGGAAACAGGCCCTTCAGCCCAACACATCCACACCGACCCTCAGAGCATCCCACCCAGACCTATCGTCCACCTAATCTACACATCCCTGAACACTACAGGCAATTTAGCATGGCCAACCCACCTAGGATGAACATGTTTGGACTGTGGGAGGAAACCGGAGCACCCGGAGGAAACCCATGCAGACACAGGGAGAACGAGCAAACTCCCCACAGACAGTCGCCCAAGGGTGGAATTGAACCCGGGTCCCTGGTGCTGTGAGGCAACAGTGTTAACCACTGAGCCACCATGCCACCCAACTGCGTTGTATCTGGGCTGTTCACCTCAACTTCTGGTAGCAGTTTCTACGTTCTCACCCCTCTGTGAGTGAAGTGGAAGTGTTTTGATACATGTGTGTGTGACTGGATGTTGTATAAAGTATATGTTCTGTTACACTCAAATAACCACCTCCAAAATGACTGTTTGATGGTGAGCCAATCTGTTCGCTCCAACTTCCCAAAGCTACAAGGAAAGTTCCCTCTTTGAAGGAAGATTTCAGACAGATTGAGAATACTATTTAGAGTCTGTCGTGTACCTTGGGTAATCCTCATCAGCAAAATAAAAACAGGCCGATATAATTACAGAAAGCTAAATGCCCCGGTCTATCCTGAATAAGTGAGACAGAAAATAGTCAGGTACTCAAGTCAAGATTGAAGAGTAGGGTACCAGGCTGACTAAACAAAGCCTAAACAATGAGTTTTATATGGCTTTGAATTTGTGCCTGTTACAATAAAACAAAGCAGCGGCAGTTTATAAATATTCCGAGTGGTTGACAGTGCTCTCATTGCTCGGGTTCAAATCCTACTCCAGAAACCTGAGCGTGTAATTGGACAAGCTCTCCAGTCCAGCACCAAGGCCAGCAACTATCAGAGTGCCCTAATTCAGACGACATGTTAAACCAAGAGATAACGCAGTGTGGAGCTGGAGGAACACAGCAGGCCAGGCAGCAG